AGGAGGAGGAGGAGGAGGAGAGAATGAGATAAATCACACTATTAAATAATATAAAATAATAATATCAATTAATGAACGAATGTTGTTTTTAAGAATTGGAAACTGGGAAGTCGGAGGGAGGCCTTGAACGCATCGTGAGGCTGGTCAAACTGGCCGGGTGAGTTTCACCGCGGCCGGGATCTGGGATCAGTTTTTGATCTCGCTAGTTCCCCTCAGCTAACCAGGAGTTCACAGCGATGTCTGACCTGAGATCAGTGTGAGAGTGAGGGCAAACAAAGGGCGGGGGGGCAGACAGCATGTCGCTGCTACCTGTTTGAGGGAATATACGCACAGTTATCGGCAGGTAAGTCAGCGTCCAAATGTCGAATTCTTTGTGTTATTTCGCTTTTAATCACAGAAATATAGGTTTGAACATGACGAACGACATGAGTTGGCTTTGTTGTGTTCTTTACTTTGTTTTTATTTATTTTATCCGATTTATCGGTTTACAATGCAAGCGGCTGCGCACAGACACTTGCTCTGTATCAGGCTACTACTTCAGTAAAAAGTTTGTTCGCTGTTTAACAGTAAGCCAACATTAAGGCCTGACACTACAGGTGAATAGGGTAACTAGTAAATAGCAACATTAAACTTCTTATTAACACTCCATTGTTTTAATACAAGTTTTTAGGAATGAAATGCTATATAAATCAGGCTGTGAATGATATATGTAAAAAGCTTCAGGACATAGATAGGAATGAAACTGGAAGGTTTGGTGTGTGTCAGTGCTACTCAGACTGAGAGAAAACGGCTTTCAAAGGCACTGCAGGTAAACAGGACAACAGTTTAACTTAAATAAGTGCTACTGAAGTGGAAACCTCATTTTGAGGAAATAGCCTTTAAAGGTACAGTATTGTACATGCATGTAAAAGCTGATGGAGCAGTCACATCATTAAAGCATTGGAGAAGCGGTTTGTGAAACCAGACTAGCCAGAGTTTTCTTTATGTACAGTGGAGGTGAATGGAATGTGTGGGGCTCACAACATCATCTCAGAGTCCCTGTTTCTGTGGATGATCCACAGACCTAGCTGCTGCTGGGTCTGTTTCTTTCTCAGCTCCATTGACAGCTGTTCACAGTGAGGCCTCTGTTTGTTACACCTCCATTATCTCCTCACTGTTCTGAAGCAATAGCTTATCAGCTGTAGAGTCAGATTTGACATCTACACTCCTATGGATTACGGTAGAATATGTATTTACTTTGTGCTAACTGAGCAGCACTTTGTGAATGTGTGTCACTGTGGCTGACAGGCAGTCCTACTACATTCCAACTGACGAAAATTAGCCATGCCAACACGGATTCAACTCTCCGGCAAGGCTGTGTACGCCTTCTGAGTGACAGAGGGTGTTGTTGGTTCTAGTTGAACCCAGCTTCCATTTTTTGAGAGTTGGCAGTAAGTCTTGGTTATTGTGGTAGTATATTCATCTTTGAAGATTCAATATTAGTGCATTTCTATGTGAAATTCTGAATTGCAGAAATTGAGGATGTTCATGCAGAATATTTTTGTTTTGTTTATCCAGGGTTTGAGATATCTGTGTCTGTGAATGGCCAGTTATCCTGTTTACATGTATATTGTGTATGCAGGAATAGCCCATCAGACGCAATTATATACCCTATATCTCCCTCATTCTTTATTCTTTAAAGGTTTTTTTCAAAACTCTATGATTACATTTTTAAGAAGTAACCTACATTGTATTTGTGTGAAATGTTTAATATATCAAGTAGAAAACATGTGACATTAACAGCAATTTAATATTTAGAAATAAAGAGGGTCAGGAATGATGAAATCAAAGGAAGTGAGCTGAAATGGAAACAAAAAGAAAGCAAAACTATTGCAGGGAAGAAATCATAATGTGATCGTCTGACTGCTTGTGTTTGTTGAAGTAAGACCTATATTTTAATTAAGCAGAATTATCCTTTAAAACCGCTGCAGGTCGATCGGTTGATTTAATCCTCTGCCTTTCTCTCTGTAGCGAACACAGAGTCCAGGTCCCGATGTCTTCAGGAGGAGTTGGTTCTGCCACCAGGTTCGACCGGGTGCGGGAGATCCCACACTATGACCAGGTCCCTGTGGGCTCCTTATGGCGGGACACGGATTTCCCTCTGCCCCCACCTTCCATGCATGGAACATTGCCGACCACCAGCTTAGACCCCCTTCCCCCTCCCCCTCTACCTGATCAGCCAGCTGTTGGGTCAGTATCCTTCTACCCCCCCAGCGACGATGAGCCAATGGAGGACAACTGTGACGCCATGGACATTAAGCCGGTGCGCCGCTTCATCCCTGACTCTGTCAAGAACTTCTTCCGCGGCAACAGTGGTAACCGTGGCAGCAAGGGTTGGTCCATCCCCCCTCCTCCACCTGCCCCTCACTCCCCCGCCCCCTCGTCCTGGAAGAGTGGTAATTGCCAAACTACTTCGGGAGTCCCCTGCTCGCCTCCCCACTCCGCCCCTCCATCTCCGTCCCTTCCTGGGTCCTATCGGGACCCCTATGGCGGCTCTGGAGGCAGCTACACCACTGAGAAGGAGCGAGACAGGCTGCTGCTGGGTGCTGAAGCCCTCGACTCCGTTTCCGCAGTGCCCACCAATTTGTCAGTCCAGACCTACCACGAGCGGGTGGAGGAGTACCACGAGCGCTACGCCTACATGAAGTCCTGGGCTGGCCTGCTGAGGCTCCTGGGCTGCGTGCAACTGCTGCTGGGAGCTGTTGTGTTCGCCTGCGTCTGCGCTTATGTTCATAAGGACAACGAGTGGTTCAATATGTTTGGATACTCCCAGCCGCAGCTGTATGGGGGACTCGGTGGAGGTGCTGGTGCATATGGATCTGGGGGCGGTTACTACACAGGCCCCAAGACGCCTTTTGTCCTGGTGGTGGCTGGTCTTGCGTGGATCGTGACTGTTATTCTGGTCGTCATTGGGATGACCTTATACTACAGAACCATCCTTCTAGACTCTTCCTGGTGGCCGCTCACTGAGTGTTCCATCAACCTGGTGTTGGCGGTGCTCTATTTGGCAGCGGGGATAATGTATGTCAGGGACACCACTCGAGGGGGGCTGTGCTACATGCCGGTCTTCAATAATGGAGTAAATGGAGCGTTCTGTCGCACCGAGGCCGGCCAGACAGCAGCCATCATCTTCCTCTTCATCACCATGGTGCTCTACTTCATCAGTGCGGTAGTGTGTCTGAAGCTGTGGAGGCACGAAGCAGCCAGGATGAGGAAGGAGGGGCTGGCACAGGAGGTCTGAAAAACATATATTTATCTTTCTATACTTGACAGCATACATTGCGTGTCCCCTAACCATCAGAACTAAAAGCATAATGGTGCAGACACACTGGATCTGTTGATTGATGTCGATGGATCATATTCTTATTCTATTTCCACTAGTATTTCATTTAATTTCATTTAATTTTCTAGCTAAAAAATGTTATGCTCTACTGTATAGTAGTCACCCACAATATTTGTCTTTCCTACCTTTGAGTTAGCAACTGCTTTCTGTTAACTTTAGTATATATAGTAGTATATATTAAATTGCAGATATTTGAAACTAAAGTATAGGGACTTGTATTACATAGTGTATAACATTCTAAAACACTGGAACATTGAATTGTTCTCAACACTTTGAACACTGTGAACACTTAATGAATCATTGCCCATCTCTTCTTCCTTTCACAATACACCCTAGATGAAAACCATTGGATCATCGGTCCCTCTGTCTATTGTAAGTATCAACGATAACTTTTTGAAATGTTCTAGCAGACATTGAATTGCACGCACTGTACATGAACTGAACACATGACTTTCCACTGTAGCTGGGTCCATCCTCCAGGGCCTCAGAGCAGACTCCTCTGCCCACCATCCAACCAGACATCATGGATGCTCCAAACTCTGCAGCCGCTTCTCTGATAGCGCTGGAGCCAGAGATCCTCCGAGGTCACATACCAGCCGGACACATCCCCAAACCTGTTGTTATAGCCGACTATGTGGCGTGAGTATCAAATTTTAGGAAAATACCTTGCGGTTTTCAGACTTGCTGTCTGTCGTTTGTACATCTGAAAACAGTCTTGGAAACAATTATTTAGTGTTCATGTTCAACACTTTTCTGATGCAGATCCTCAGGTCTCCATTGACACACAGCATACATTTGAACTTAAACCTTCATCATCTGTTTTTAAGTCTTTATTTAGTCCTTGATTAGAGGGCTCCAGAGGAAAGTGGCCAATCTTGAAAGAGATGCGAGGAAATCTTTTGTCATCATTCCAAAAAGTGGTTCTATATCACACTGCGCTGCTTGATTCAGAGCTTTAGATAGACCAAATAAATCTAACCTAAAATTGACAGTGACAGAGATTCAGGACCAGAAATCCTTACAATGTGTCCTACATATATTTAAAAAATTAAAAAACAAATGAAAAGATACAGAATACACTGGCCAACATCTTGTTTTGAATAAAGTAAAAATTAGGAAAAAATCTGATGCAGATACTTTTATATTATATGGTATATATATATTTTTGGTATATATTTCTGAGTGCCACAGACGGGAAGGCAGAAAGTATTGCTTGATGGACTAACACATTGTTTATTTGGCTCTTATCTATCTAACTCTGAGTAAATCTAATCAAGTAGATATTATATAAAAATTAGAGCCTTTTAAGTACTAAGTAAAGCTGCAATGATCGGATGATTAATTCTGTTTAGAAAATGAATTTAAAAAAAAGAAAAATTAATTGCCAACTATTTTGATACTTGATTAATCGTTTTGAGTAATTTTTTAAGAAAAATGTCAACATTTTCTGATTTCAGATTCTGTAATGTGAGGATTTTCTGCTTTCTTAGTCCTCTATGACAGTAAACTGAATATCTTTGGGTTATGGACAAAACAGGACATTTGAGGATGTTACGTCAATTTATGGACTAGACAACAATATACAGATTAATCGCTAACGAAAATAATTGTTAGTTGCAGCTCTAATACCAAGTCCCTGTGTTTATTATTAGTCCTCCGCTGCAGCTCTGAGGAGACACAAAGCAGGAATTTTATACTAAAAAGATTGTAACTTTAAAAAAAAAAAAGAAATCCATTTGGTTAGTCTAACTCAGACTGAAGCCTCATAGTAACTTCAGATAAAGTTTGGAATGCATTTTTACACAGAATACAGTTACACAGGATGTTGACACCCATTACTTACATTGGCAGCACATTATGAAGGGATCTTTTAATGTCCAGTATGAACAGGAGGAATGATAACAGCAAACAGTGTTTCAGTGTTTGGACAGGCACCTGACTATAGTTTTAAGACAAACTTGTGATCCTATCCCATAAACCTCAGAGAAACATGAATATCCACAGCAGATTTGAATCTGGCTAGTAGTTGTGTTGGACGGACAGATTAATATTGTCATCCTCAGGACCTACTGCTAGGAGACTGAGACACATTCAGCTATAGTGTGAATGTAGCTAGCAGCCCAAAAAAATGTGTCGTCTGCTTTTCTTTTTTCCACAGGAAGTATCCCAGCATCCGCACGGACGAGGAGAGGGACCAGTACAAGGCTGTGTTCAATGACCAGTACGCCGAGTACAAGGAGATACACGCTGAGGTTCAGGTCATGGCCAAAAAGTTTGAAGAGATGGACGAGATGATGCAGACCCTTTCTTCCCGGCCTTCCAGCCAAATGGTACAACTCTCACTCCACACACACACTCACACAGAGGAATACAGATGGATGCACACTCAATAACTGTGTCCAGTAACATGCTAATGTTGTGTTGCTAATTGTGTTTCAGGAGAAGGAGAGGATCAGTGGCATTTTAATGGAGTATCAGAGGAAGAAAGCTGTAAGTAGAGATCCTAAAATGTGATTTATGATCCATCCAATGTCACTCATTGAGGGGCTGGTTGTGTGCCTCATGATAATTCTGTTTAACCCATTAACCCTTGATTCCCTGTGCAACAAAAGATATTACCCCACTGCATTTCACCTACCAAGAGCCTGCTTTGGTACTTTTGGTACCTTTGTTTTTTTTATCAGACCAACTTTCATTTGTCTTCATTTTACTTTTTTTTTCCTTTGTTTTTTTAAATGATTATTATTTAATTATTATAAAATTAGATCATTAATTAGTCAGCTGCTAAACTTAAATATTAATATAATATATGGTATGATGAGTATGAATGCCAAAGTAAAAAACAATCAAACACAGAAAAGCAGTCTAGATCAGTGGTTTTAAAACTGGGGTCCAGGGAATAACTCATTCCTTAACTGGGCCCTAACCTCAGCAAAAGGAAGAACAGAATATTTTAACTTTATCACATATTTTGGGAAGTTGGAACAGCAAAGAGAGAAATAGTATTAGTCGTTTGATCAATTGTAATTTATAGTGACCCTAGTTTGATCATTGATTGACTAACCCTCTTCAAACCTAAAAAATAAAATAAAAAAGGGATTCCTTAAGAAAGAATCCTCTCAAATTGGGGGTCCATGGAATGTGCATCTATTTTGGGGGTCCTTGACATGAAAATATTTGGGTACTCCTGGTCCAGATGGTGTTGGTTTCTGGTGTAAATCCAAATACAGATATTCTTGTTTAAAACCTTAGTATATTGTATTACGTTTGGGGGTACACACCAGACAGGATTTGTCAGAGAATCTTGTTAGATGGCAGGGAGTGGTCAGGGCCCAAGAAGCAAAAGGATTCATGGGAAATGTGGCCTTCATTTTTCAAAAAAAGGAGAACTTGAATTACTACTACTATTAATGACACAAGACGGACAGGAACAACTGTCTCCACCATTGTTGCATTTGTATAATTGTGCAGGTATAATATTTTCATAATTGATAATAAACAGATTTTTATTTTTAGCAAGTCACAATGTTAGGTAAGATTTTTGGATGATGTAGTAATGTTGACATCCTAACAAAAGCTCTTAGAGTGAAAGTAGAGGCTAATGAGGTCACTCTGTCCCAGTTGCATTAACCAAAACCAGTTTAGTACTTTGAATTAAGGAAGAAATTCTCCACACTGTTATCCTAACCAGTGAGTCATGTCAATGTGACTGTGTTGTCATCAACCTACCGAAACCATTATGAGGTATTTGGTTGTTTATTCCTAGTAGAATGTAACACAGCTCAGATACTGTGAGCATCTACAGGTTTGATGAGCTGATGCCCTTCTGAACACTAGCATGTTGTGGAATTTTAATTGCAATTAAATCAGATTGTAAAATAAAAACTCATATTCTTTTTACCTTACTAGGTTTATTTAATACTTGCTATAACAAATTAAGAGGCAGAAGTCAATACAGAAGAGCTTGTTTAAAGGAGCACAACTCAATAAGTCTGAGAAATAACCCTGGTGATGTCATCAGGGGTATTTCAGCTTGGCTTTAAAGACTACATGCTTTTAACTTATCTGTCCTTCAATCCCCCCCAATTTTATGGAATACTAAATCAGTGGAATGTCCCTTTTAATAAGTCGTATGTTTTGATGTGAGATTTTGCCCCCAGTTACCCAAAATGTTCTCTCTGCCTGGTTTATTAATGTTTGTCTGGTCTACTGAAAAGTACAGTTTTCTATGTGTTGCTACCACAACAATGTCCCTGATAATAACACTAGGAAAGATAGCAAAACATTGAATTTATTTCTGTTCTTGTCTTCAGGACCCAACGTATTTGGAAAAAAGGGAGAGGTGTGAGTACCTGAAGAACAAGCTCTCTCACATCAAACAGAAGATTCAGGAGTACAACGTCAAAGACTGACACAGTCTGCAACAGTGTAGTGGAACAAGAGAATGTCCTCATTGTTGATAATACCCTAATAGCTGAATGTAGATATGCCATTATCACATTAGAATAGGTTGATACCATCACTGCTGTCAGTAATGTCAATGATCTTGTCACAGGTAGAAACATCATCAGTGGAAATGTCATTCTAGAGAGTGGAAAGGTCAAAGGAAAAGTAAGCTACACCCAAAATGGGATCTGAATACATGGACAGAATGCAGACAGCTGGAATGGATCAACCTAAATAAATGGCTTTTTTTTTTCCTTTTTTTTTTTGCTTTTTTTGCCATTTGAGATAAAAAGATGATTATAAGTTTCATCACTGTGTCCTGTCCGATGTTTGTTTAACACAGACTGGAGGAAGAGGTAACTGCAAGACCAGCTTAATCAGAAGAGACCATATGGACATTTTTATCAGCCACATTTGATATATATATAAAATTAATTATACAAGAAATTAAATTATCTTTTCATCTGAGTTTGGGTAAGGTGACAATCAAGCACATATTCGAACATGTGTGTGAATAGCACCATAACAGATATAGGAGAGGTTTGTTATAAGTTAGTTTAACTATGTATATTGTTGGTCAGATACTTGTGTATGTGTCATACAGTGGGAGTTTCTTCTGCCGTGTAATCTTCTCTTGAAATATGAACAATTACTAAAAGCTGTCCACAGTGGAATGTAAGAACTATCTCACACTTAACTTAAATCTCAACAGATGTGTCTTTAAATGAGTTTTAATCACTCCTTTTAGTAACTCTGTATTTGTACATTGATATGTTTGATATGTGTATGTTTTGTATCATATATGTACTACTGCTTTACGCCAATGAAGCACCTTTTTTACATACTTTTTTTACTTTAGCCAATGCACTGACTTCTGTGACACCAATCACTCACTGTTAAGACTACTCACTGTTAAGACTTGCTCAAATTTGATAAGGCCATTATAGCTAG